ATGAATGACAACTAACAGATATTGCGCAGTCATTATCTGGATTATGGTGAATACAGATAATCAATACCAATATGGTATCAGTAAAAACACCATGCTGGTATCATATTAGTGCCATATGGTACCTTGTTACCAATATGGTGGAAAGTATAATCTATTGTTATGAATTATTAAACAAGATAATGTTTTCAAAAAAGTGAATTTATGCACTAACTTTGCTAAATGCTTTCTGTTACTTTTGCAGTGTAACAAAAGGGAAGAGACAAAAAAAAAATTACAATTACAATACCAGACTTACTCCGCTAATCATCAACCTCATGTATCAGATATGAACTACATTAATAACTCAGGTGGACAACAAGTTAGTCATTTTTAAAATTTGTCCAGAATTCAAAATAGTTCCTCAGTAACAAAATAGTTAAAGTGTCAATAATTAAGTAAAAACCGAAATAATTCTCGTAATGATTGTTCACTCTTCAGTGTTTACTTTCAAAAACCTCAATAAAAATTTAATATAGGTTTCCAGATCCATAATTCAAAAGCTGGAATTTTTTAAAATCAACTTGAGAAATTTTTAATTTTTGTACATCTAATAGACTTTGCAAGAAATGAGGCCATTCTATATTGATAGTTATTACTAAAGAAAACTAATGCATTAATTATCACGTGAAGAAAGTTCCAAGAATAAGGTAAGGTGCAAAATTTTGCGTTTACAGTTGTACAATAATTAAAAAAGCATCCATGACTTAGCGAAAAATTGTTGTATTTTTACTGCATATCAAACTAGCTATACTTCACTAGTAACTAAAATTATGTTAAAGCTTATTAACATTCGAATATTGAAGTTTTAGTCTTATCAACTTAATGAACAAATGATAAGTATCTATATTTATAAAATTTTACAGTTAACTTATATGCCTCCAGCAGTGCCATCCTCAACTCTAGATCAGCGTCCATCAGTAGTAAATTTAACAGTAGCTCCTGCCGCTTCAGCCTGCTCTAAAAGTAATGAATATGAGGCTTGTCGTATTGGCTCTTATCAAAATTATACTGATCCATCGCATAATAATGATACTCTGACTAATAAGGGTGGTTTCCAAGAACAGGTAATTTTGTCCAAACCAATATACCTTTTAATTAACTATTTGGCTTAAAATCTTAACTTTTCAAATATATTTCATGCTTATTTATATTCTGTTAAAATGAAGAAACTTTTTCATGAAGCTTTTTT